AACAAATGAGAAAAAACAGCTTTTTTAACACGTGCTTTAGTAACACCGTAAATGGTGACGCGGGGGAAATTTTTTTGAAAGTGTTCGTGTGTATTGATTTATAATTAGGATTTAAAAAACAAACTGGAAATAATTTTTTTAAATTACACATCTGGTTATAAGATTTAAGTTTACAAAATTAATAGACTGCGGTAATTGATGAGAACTCTGCTAACTTTTCACATGTGTTCACTTCAGTGAAAATAATTTTCAAGTTAATGAGATGTTAATTGATTATTTTTATTATTACTGTATTTTACAGTAAAAAATAAAGCATCGGCAACGTAAATTCATCGAGAATAAAATTTTGCTAGTGAAAAATAATTTTCAAGTTAATGAGATGTTAATTGATTATTTTTATTATTACTGTATTTTACACTAAAAAATAAAGCATCGGCAACGTAAATTCATCGAGCATAAAATTTTGCTAGTGAAAAAACCCCCCGATAATTCGATATTTTTACGAAACGCTGATGTTTTGAAAACATCCACATCGATGCCACATCCCTAGCAGGCACATCAAGGGACACGGTGGGGCTCTCACTGGGCATCTGAGACCTAGATCAATTAATTCATTATTGCAGATTTCTCCCTGACATTCAAGATGGCGCCGAGTCAATTTGCCGGCTAATTTTTTCTCGTATCTTCGCATATGAATATTTATAAGCAGGGTCGGATTCTAATGTCAGATCAATTAATTATTGCAGGTTTCTCCAAGACATACAAGATGGCGCCGAGTCAAGTCCCACGTGTTAAATCCATGACACTTTGAGCCATTGAAGATGGGATAAGTTAGTCATTAAACACGTGTATGCTTGTTTATTCTCTATATTAATTTTATATTGTAATACGCTTTGAGGTTGATACCTTTTGGATCCTTAATCAATAATCATTATGGATTATCTAAAAAATTCTGTTGCCGCCATGGAATTCATTGTTCGGCCCATAGAAAGCTGCACGGTATATATCTTTTGTTTCTAGTACCTTCCTATATTATCTCTAGTTATGTTATCGCGTGACATTTAACGACGTTTTCCTCAAGGGTTTGGAGAAATAAACGTTTTGAGACTTGCTGGGTTGTGTGAACCCACTGGGAGCTTTGGTAAAACACAATGTGGACATGGTTATAAACGAACTTTTAAATTTATTTCTAGGTTTATCCCTAACACATATCATAGTAACTGTATTACATTCTAGGTTACGTTTTAACAAACTAAAACATTTATATTTTAAATATATTTTTTTCTGGTATTGTATCTTTGTCACGAAGAAGATGCAACTTGAATGTCAGCTTCTTTTGAGCTATAATTAAATATGAAGATGAGGCTTTGAACAGATGAAGATAAATTTGTTGATAAAATGTGGAAAAGGAATAGTTTCATCGATTCTGAGCAGAACATAAGCTGTGGTTAAGAGGAAGAAAGTCGACGTAGTTGAAATGTGTGATTTAGCTGGGCTAGAAATTTGGGACGTATTCTACATTATGACGAATGTTGTATTTAATTCCATTTCTAATTTCTAATTGTATAAATCATTCCAATGTTCAGAGGCGACTCTTTCTCGAGTCTGAGTCGTGATCTTGTCCGAGATAAGCTCTTCGCTTGCACAAAATTAAGGAAGATTGCAAGTGATCTTAGAGGTGGTGTCAACATTTACCAGCATTGCAATTAAAAATCAAATCCAAGACAGGAAAAAAACCCGCTGAAGTGTAGGTGAAGGAAACACAGAAAACTGAAAATGTGTGATCCAAGTGCTTCAAATTCCTTTCCCAGAAGCAGATTTCTGCTCTCTGTTTGGTGTGCCAGAGCGTATATACATAATGACTATAGCAACAATTATTTCAAACTTACAAAATTACACTCCTTTTAAAATGCAATTAGTAATAGATTAAGAATACATTTTCATTAGAAGTGTTGATTAGTTTTTGCAATAATTGCAAAATTATTATACTTCACACACAATTTTAAGACTTGCACTATAATTATCTTTCATTAAATAAACTTTCTCCACGTTAATATGTTATGAATGCATTTCACGTACTCTACAAATAATATGATTTTCATAATATCTACAACTCCCACGATTTCCGATGGAAATAAGAAGTCTTTAGGTCTTATGAACCAATGCAAGCATTCACGTTCGTATATTCGGTGCAAACTCTGGCAAGTTAAGCTACAATAATTCGATGCTGAAATACATATTTAAAACAACATGGATGTTTTGAAAACATCAAAATGATGTGGCATCACTTACCTCTAGTGACAGAAAACAAAACATTGACGTCACTAATCACTGATGTACAAAATTAAACCATCGATGTTTATACAAGAAACTGTCAACGTTTTTAAATATGGAAGTTTTTATAAAAACATGGATGTTTTGAAAACATGGGCATCGATGTGGCATCCCTAATCCCCAGCGGGCACCTCGAGGGACGGGCCGTGGGCGTCGGGCGCGGAGGCGGTGGCCGCGCCACTGGGTCAGTAGGTCGCCGCAGCGCCTCGAAGGCCCCGCCAACAAAGGTTCTTCGAAATTTCTCGCAGCTTGATCGCGTCTCGGACCCGCTCAGCATACTTGTCATCCGTGACCACGCGACCGGTTGAAAGAAGAAGAAGAAGAAGAAGAAGAAGAAGAAGAAGAAGAAGAAGAAGAAGAAGAAGAAGAAGACTGGCCTGGCGCCGGGGCACTGTTTGAAGGTATTCCGCTGGTGTGTGCGGGGCTACAAATGAATATACATGGCCTGGAGAACTGTGAATTGCCGACATTGTCTGCATGACAAGCACCATCATCACTAGGAATAATACAAAATTAATCCAATTTTTATGTCACTGATATGCTTTTCTGGCGCTTCACCGAAAGAATCACATTTCTTGAAATATATATACCTACATGAGAATGAACTTGAAATATTATATATATATATATATATATATATATATATATATATATATATATATATATATCGTGCAACGATACGTTTATTATACGTAATATACGTATTATAATAATATACGTTTATTATACGTAAGCCATTACGATACGTTCACAAATATATTATTGAAGCCGCGATTTCCAGATTAGTTTACATCGAGAAATAGGGTTACTGTACGAAGTAACTTCCATTATCATAACGATGTATCTCCCGTTGACAATTGGCCAGCGATTGACCAACTAATAAAGAATGCGTTCCGTTGTTGTGCACACACATAAAGCGTGTTCGGAAGTCTGAGTAGGTGCCACCCTCCAACAGAATGTCAAACAGAATGAAATAGTAGGTGCTTACGTTCTTCTTCCATCACTTCCTTATTCGAATAATGCTTCATGAAAGGGACAATTATCTTTGTTTTTCAACATACTTTACGGAGATCGTACAATTGTTCTAGAGCAAGATTCATTGCGCAATAAGGAGCTAAAATTTTCTGCCGTTTTGTTCTATTGAAAAAAAAATACATTACTACTTTCAAATGTTTAGACCTATAAAATATTGCTATACCGATAAATTTTAATAAATAATTTACTGTTCAAAATGGAATAAGTGACGTGTGCTCAGTAAACGGAAATGAAAATACCGAAAAAAGTAAAAGATAACCTTTAAAATGAACTTATCGGTTTGAAATAAACGTGAACGCACTAGCCTCTTAAAACCGTAGCCTCTAGTATTACAATAAGTTCACAAAAAAGTACATAGCACTTCTAAAAACCATATTTTTATTTGTTCATATATTTATCGTTGCCAATGATCACTCTTCAAACAAGTCTTCATATAATAAAAAATTAAAAGAATATAACAACAACAAAAATAATTTATATAGCCTCATATGGACGTGATACGATTTTTAGAAAATTCATTCATTGTTTCAGAAACCAACGTCATTTTCCCCAGATGCAATACCTCATGAATAGCGTCGCGCACCAATTCAAGGCGAATCCCCACCCGAACCCCGCACCCTCCTCGTGGGTTGGCGGTGGCCGTGTGTCCACACGGGGGGCGATGGGCGATGGGCGATGGGCGATGGGCGATGGGCGAGGGGCGAGGGGCGAGGGGCGAGGGGCGAGGGGCGAGGGGCGAGGGGCGATGGGCGATAGCGCGGCGTGGGAACCCCAACCGGTCGCCCGCAGATCGCGCTCGCAGCGGCCGGTATGGTCCGGCACCGAGAACATTCAGCCGGAACTCCTCCGGCCGCGGCCGCGGATAAAAGAAACACGAAGGCTCACGTTGGCAAATAGTTTGCAAGGATTACTAACATTCACAAGTTCTAAAACTTTGGCTTCGGATAAATAAAAAAAACATCACAGTTGAAATATATGATTGTTTATAATTCCTAGGGACAGCGTATTGTGAGAGCAAAGCGATGAGATGGCTTCTAAAGCCATATTATTCAAACAGGTTTACAGTGAGACAACTAAGAGAACATTGCTTCCTCCTTCTTAGAATTCCTGGTCCTCATCGAAAGCGAAATGTTTTCCACACCTTGAGACACTTGCTACCGTCGCACTAATGTTTAGATTTATGAATCGTTAATAGCGTAAAACAAAATTAAATACACAATACAAGTATTACGATAATAACTATTAATATTTACCAATTGAATTTTTGTTAATGAGACTCATTCAAGATCATTTAAAGAACATTTAATTTTTTTAAAACTCATTTTCCAATATTTCGTGAAAACCAATCACTGTTATAAAAGGAGAAGTGTTTTAATGAGTTGAAACATTCCATGAAAAATCAAAATTACTACCAGGACCAACATTTGTTCAAAGCAGGAGGGTGTTTCTTGATTTAGTTTTGATATCAATACTCCATTAAAAATTCCATTAAATTCCATTAAAATGATAGATTCATCAATAAATTGATTAAAAGATGAGCCTCAACACTACTATACTTTAGATTTCAGTAAAGGATAAAACGAAGCCGAATGCTGCCGTTGGCAACGGAGCCGCGAGCGAGCGGGCCTTACCTGGCGAGAGAGCAGAGAGTGTCGCCTGTTCCTGCCGCGCTGCGCACTGCACTGAGTGCCTCTTCGTCCTTCCTTCGCAGAGACGCAAGCCCCGACTGCCACCACCGCCGCCGCCGCCGCCGCCGCCGCGCCCGCCCGCGCGCTCACCCCCCCTCCCCCCGCGCCGCGCTCCGAACAGGATTTCTGCCAGAAGCTGTTTATGTCGCTGGTGCCCAGACGCGCAGCTACACCGCGACCCACGCTGCTCGCGGACTGGGCTGCGGCGCGGAGCCGACCAAGACGTGAGGCAGCGGCCAACAATCGAAGAACTGGATGCATCGGCTGCCGCGACAGAAACCAGCTTGCGTTAGATACAACGGCGCAAATATGTGCACATTAAAGTAAACAGTATTGGAAAGGAAGGCTAGTAAGTTTGCGGAGGTTTTGAAGAGGGAGAATAAAAGTTGACATTGAGGATGATAAATTATTTCTGAAGAATATAGTAGGCATTGGAGTTTCGGTTCTCACCATTTTGATCATATATCCGGCAAACTATTGATAAAATAGTCGAATCCTTGAGATTTGCTATGCATTCTAAAAGAGTTAAGTATTAAATGGAGAGAAAGAGACTCATGGGATGAATATACAATAAATGGCACAAACTTACTCTTACTAATATTTTCCTATTAAGATTTAGGATTTAAAGTTAACACAGGAGGGACTGGAAATGCTTTAGTATATCTTAAAATATTCATCTTTTACGCGGGTTTCGAAACTATAACATTAGTGTCTTGTTGACCCGAACATTATCTTACGTACCCGAAACTCCTGTCTCACGAACCCTAATCACTTGACCGAACCATAACAAAGTGTAACCATTGCAATCATTTGTAAAAGTGCTACAGACATGTCACAATTAATGTACAAATTTAATAATGTAATTGAAACTGGCATTTTTATGCAGCCTTTAAAGTGCCATCTAGCATTGAATCTATGTATCTATGTTTGAGACTTTTGTTTCAAAACTAAGAATGCAAACAAAATTACGTTCTCGTAAAAATCCATCAACGTCACACACATTAAGAAACAATTTTTTCAAAATTATATAATTTCCACTACTCCAAATAATATATAACATAATATTATTAAGGATTGAGGTTGAGGATTTAGAAAGGCTAGGAAAATTAAGTGATGTAGATAAATGTAATACTCAATTGTTGGGCAAGATTATATTTAAAGGTCTAATGAAGTTAATATTAATGGGGCAAAAAACAAGGCTAAGAGCGCTAGAAATGGTAATAAACAGCTGTATAATGAATAAGAATAGCGTTGTATTAGAAATTATAGCGTTATATCAGAATTATATCAGAATAGTTGTATCAGTTGGCGAGATGATTTTGTTTGATTTCATGACAAGTTTATATTGAGATATAGGGTTTTACAAAAAACATTGCTGGGACAAAGGTAAAATGTCTGACCTATTCGAATTAAATGTTGGTGGAAAAAGCGGCAAGTTTTTTGTGGTTATCTCTTTTTCTCCCTCTTGAGGTACTCTGTTTTTGAGATAATCTAGGTTTTAGAATAGCTTTTATTGCTCGCAAATTACACGAAGACTACTAATGTTTTGTACAAATTGTACATACATTTATTTCACTATTTTTTAAGGACAGATTTTTTTCGTAAACTAATGATGTTTTAGAATGGCACAGCCTTTCTGGTATTATTCCGTTTACGAATTACTTAGCCTGGGATATCTTTTACTTTTACTCCAACTCCTGCAAAGCTGCAGCGCCTTTAAGGAATTTTAAAAGTATTTCTCATTTTTTTAGTTTCCCTAATAGTAGAATTAAAATATAACTAAAAGTTATGATAGAGTATGATAGAAGAGTGAAACCATGGTTTTATATGCAATTTTTCATTGAAACATTTGAAGTTATTTTTGAAAAGTTGTCATTTGAGCGATTCTGAAACATTTTCTGCACAATTTTGAGTTCTTTTCAAACAAAAAGGTTTGAGTTTTGGAGAAACTTCGTAAGAAATTACTTGCAGAACTTGTAAACAAAAATACAATGACGCGTTAAAAAGCTCAAATAGCAAATATTAACGATATGAGAAGTATTCAAAAAATTGCGTAGTCATTTCTGATACATCAAAGAATACATAAAAATCAACAATATCGTTGATGTCATGCATTTCTGTGAATTCACCACTCCTTCCAAAAAGGTTAATGAAAGAATTTGGAGATGTTTTTTGAGAAATTCTAGCTTTTGAAATTGATTTAATTTTATTCAGAAAGGACTTGTTCTCATAAATCCAATAATGAATGAAGAAACTCCGTCATGTTTCAAATATGATATTGGAAACATGTATCAAAAAGGTTTCTTTGTTTAATTTCTGAAATATCAAAGGATACGTCAGAATGGCGTTTAGTACTATCTATACAATACCTACGTTTAAAAAACACATTTGGAGCTGTTTATAGGAAAATGTTCTTTTAATATTTTTCATATATCTCTGAAAGTTATGCAAAAACTATTAGTTTTTTAAAATGTGTTTGACATTAAAGAACTAAATGTGCAGAAGAAATTCTGTGTGAAGAAAAAATCTCTACATAGAATATTGAATATTGCAGTTGTAAGAAGTCCCCGAGACATTTTCAAAATGTTACAATTTACAAAAACGTAGTTAAAAGTGAAAGACCTATACCATTTTATAGGTGTATTTAACTTTATTTTCATAACACATTTAAAGAAAAAAATTGGAGACGCTTTTGAAAAAAAAAATGAAAACTTTCCAGAGGCTTACCACCAAAATGAAAAGAATATATTTCGAAGTAGTTGAGTTTCATGCCGCATTTCATTTCAAGACGAACAGGGAATATTCATGATTCCAAAATTCCTACGAATACTTTAGGCACTAGTATTGTTTAAGACGTACGGACAGATGTATAGTCAAGTGGCGAATGGATGGACAGACGGACGAACTATGGAAAGCCAGATAGGCAAATGGACGGACACTTCGAGACAACCATTTTGTATGAGGGGATCCCAAAACGAGGATTTCCGTTGAAATCTCGAAATTGATATTCCGCGGCATTACATAACATTCATTGTATTTCATGTATTACTCGTTACGAACGTATACGAAGGAGTAAAATGGCGGGAATGGTCCTGCGAATCGTCTCGATGTGGCACCTGTGGGTGAATGGTGAACTCAAGGGAAGCGTGTCACAGGCGAGGGAGGCGTGCCGATAACAGGGGACGTGAGCCATCTGTTGCGCACGAAGTTGATAGCAGCAACAAAAGCAAGGCATCGGCGCGGTCACACGCTTTCCGGAAGGGACACGGACGGAATGCCTCAAAAGGTTTATGAAATCGACTAAATCAGACCGGCACAGTGCATGCGCTTGGGATTATTCTACATTGAAATGTTTATTGAATGCCCTCAAATGCACCTGCGTTGAGGGGAGGAATATCTTATTGATTAATAGGGACGACGGCGAGAATGAATAATTTAGCGTCTAATGAAATGACCGATATTGAAATGAGAAATATTTATGTAAATCGCTACCCTTTTCGCTACAGAGGTTGCGAAAGGGGAATGAATTATTCTTCTCCTAAACATATCCTAAATACTGCTCTGAATCGATTTTTTTTGTCTTTTTTGTCTTTTTCATCTTTAGACATCCTCTCAATCTTCAGCTTATGCATTCGGATTCTTTACGCCTTATTTCTTTTAAAACAAAACACAATGCATTATAATTTATTAATAATAAACATAATGCATTATAATTATAATGCTGTTATCTGCAGAATATAAAGAGTAGGGTTGGTAGATATTTGACAAGGCGGTGATAGAAATGAGTTATTGTGATGTGGTCACCTTGAAGTGATCATTTTATTGTCAAAAAAAGTGTATAATCACATAATTAATAATAAAAATAATTTATATTCCGCGTGTTAATTTCATTAAATAAAAAGTTTAATTGCCTCTGAAGTTTTGCAGGTAATTTCCACTAGAAGAAGTGTTGCGTCGGTCAATCATAAGAATCCTACATTAAATTAATGATTTAATTATTTTAATAATTTAATAATATGACAGTTATTTTAAGAATTAAAATAATTCAGTCGTGATATTAAGTCGCAGCTTTATAAGAAACACATTTGATGTGTTAATTGTATCATGCCGTGCTGATATACTGCGATTTTAATTTCAATAAATGAAATAGGAGAAAGTATCGGTTTGGAGCCTAATATGGGATATCAAGGTTTCAGCTCTATTGTGAGCTGCAACCAAGCAACATCTATGCCACCTCTCTCAACATCCATTACACAGTGGAGTTGAGATAGTGTACGTGCCAGAAGCGTGTCAATTAAAATTATTTTTGTGATTGAAGATCGTAAAATATTCTGCAGTCTCTTCTGTTCGCATCTTAAAATCAATCCTTCTTTATCAAGTGTTCTTTTACCAATAGGTTAACGTAATAAAATTCAGAGAAGCAGTCTTAGATTCTACCGTTAAATCAGCTTAAATGAGGCTAGGCTTCCGGCGGCAGTCACGTGCGTGATCTGGGGCTGCTCGGGGACGCGCGGTCGAAGGCTGTGTGGCCTAGAAGGTGTAGAATCACGCTTGTTGGATAGGTTCTTAACTATTTATAAGTTAGCGTCTTTCATTATGAATAGGGGCTGTAAGGCTAGATGTCGGATACTTAGGGATTTACATAAGAATCTAGATATTATGGTGTTATTATTGTTATTCTTATTTCCTTGTATACCCAATACGAAGTCAGACTGAATGAATCCAGTTTATAGAGTCCTCTTAAATTTTACTATCTGATGAGAAGTTGAAAATGTATTTAACTTGGCTAGTCCGGGAGACGCCGGTCCTGCGGCAACAGAGTAGCCAAGGTGAAATGGTTTCCATACAATTCTTATTAGAGCATCTAACGTGTCATCAAATGACGAACCTGTTATTGCTAAAAGCGCTATGTTAAGTCAATCGCACTCTATTATCTCTGTCTACACACTTAAGTAACCAATAAACAGTGTTAATTGAACTAAGTACATTCTTATTTTTTCTCTATTATCTTGTCTACCCATCGATTCTATGGGCACCGCCCAATCCTAATTAGGAGCCAGTTATTCAAACATAAGCAAACAGTGAGGACTTTATAAGAATAAATTCAATAAAAATAAATAAAACGTCGGTAATGATCGTTTACGCAAATGATATCCTCTATTATATAAGAATTATCTAACGTAGGTATTGAGGCATGCCAAAAGATGCTGTGAAAAAATGAAAATATTATTGTTTACATGAAATAAAACAAACTGGTCCGTCCG